CGTGAAATCAGAATTTGAAAATAGTGGGCATCGATGTCGGCATCGATGTGGGCATCGATGCTGGCATCGATACCTGCATCGATGCCTGCAACGATACCAGATTACTGTAGCGCGCGTCAATGGCTGATTTTGCTTGTCTTGGGGCTCAAGTTTGATCCAATGGCTCACATTCGCTGATGTTTACTATAAATAGGGGTAGAGAGTGAGGGGTTAGAGGTGTGAAAATTTTGTAAACTCCTTTTGGAGAGGAGGGCTACTCTTAATTGAGAAGGCCTTCCAAAAATTATAACTTTAGTTGCAATTAATAAAAATAATTTTTTCACCACTTTAAATTTTTCTCTTCTTCTCTTTGTTGGATGATGAAGATGAAGATGAAGATGGAGAATTATTTGAAGGTTTGCATTTCTTTTCTTTTTCTCTTTTATTGCTTATTAGTGTAGATTTATTTCTATGCTTGTAGTTTAGATTTTATTTTCTTGTTAAATAGCCAAGAGGCTAGAACCCTCTTGCCTTAGATTTATTTCATGCTTATAGAGTAGATTTATTTTCTTGCATTTAATTCTTGCAATTTTATTTTGTAGTTTAGATTTTGCAATTTATTTTGTAGTTAGATTTTAATTTCTTATACTATTCACCTTGAGGCTAGAACCCTCTTGGGTTTAGTTTTTCTTTTTGTTTATTTTTATTTTGTTTGATTCGCCTTTAGGCTAGAACCCTCTAGGGAATCACCCTTTTCTAAGAAGTGGGTTCAATTGTAGATTACCCATATCTATAATTGAATCCACCATCTTTAATTTCTTGCATTTTCTTTTATTATATATACATATATATTTTGGTTTGATAGTTTTCAAGTTTTACTATGAAACAATTGAATATAATTAGAAAACATATTTTGGTTTCATACTCATATGCATATATATGATTTCATCAATATCAATTTTAGTTAGTTAAATGAAATCATGTTTTAGTGCATTATATGTGTATTTTGATAAAATACTACATTCATTGTTTATAGACTTCATAACAATAGTTTACATCTTTCTTCAAGTCTATAAAATCATTTTGTAAAGTTTCAAATGTTGGTTTAGCCAAAATATCAAAATTCACATGTTTACATTTTCGTGTTTTGGACTATCTTTCAAAATGATGATATTTTTCATTTGGGAAGTCCTTTTTTAAAACCAGTCATTGTAGCATGTTTATTATCATGTCTACAATCATTCCCTAAAGTTTTATATTTTTTGGAATTTATTTGATATTTTTAAACAGTGTTTTAAAATCAGATAAACAGTTTTCAGAACCTGGAATATCAGTTTCCGGTCGACCGCACCGGTCGACCGATCATTTGTTCATTTCTTACCATGCAACAGAGAGTTGGTCGGTCGACCGGTCCGGTCGACCGAAAGCTCCATCGGTCGACCGCACCGGTCGACCGACGATGGTCCAGAGCCATTCTTCGTGTTTTTGCTCTCTGTCGGTCGACCGACGAAATTTCCGGTCGACCGACTATATGACCGTTGCTTTTTTCAACGGCTATTTTCTGAGCATTTGCTGTGGTTGTTTTGTCTTTTTGCTTGGGGTTTTTGTTGAGATCTTGAGTGGGTATAAGTACCCAATTGCTGATCTCTTTTCAAGTGATCTAAGAATGTTTTAAAGAAGTTTTTAACAAGGGTTTTAAAAAGAGTTTAAGCTTATTTAAGCTTGTTTAAGGGTTTGGTTTAATCTGTTTTGGTTTTCACAAGTGGAGGAGATTATCTTTTTGTTTTGGGCTCATTTCTCCATCTCTCCATCTTGATCTAGAGAAGTTCTCCTAAACTCAACTCTAGCTTTATTATTTTGATTATAATTTCCATAAGCTAGATTTATATTGAGTTTAGTTCAATTGATTTTATTTATCTCTTTGTTGCATTCATAATATATTAGGGTTGTGAGAGTTGTAACATTGAGTGTGGGCTTTTATTGTGTTCTCATCCATATTAGAGAACAATTTATATTTGTTACATTGTGAGAATGTTAGGTTTTCGGTGAGCTAGAAACCGAGTGTGGTGTGAAGTTTTCGGTGAACTAGAAAACCGATTGTGAGGAGTGACGTTGATCGGTGAGCGTTGAAAACCGATACTGTGAGGTGTAAACGTTATTCGGGTGAACGTAGAAAACCCGGTTGTGATGAGGTGTAAACGTTGTTCGGGTGAACGTAGAAAACCCGGTTGTGATAGTGGATTTCTCCCCGGGAGTGGGGAGCGGAGACGTAGGACGGAAGGTCCGAACTCCGTGATCATATTGTGTGTTTGAATGTGCTTTGGCGTTTATTTATATTTGTGCTCATTACTCATATCGTCATTGTCTCATTATTCATATCATCCTCTATCTTGTTTCATTTTGTTTACCCTTGTGTTAGTTTATATATCCTTACATATATCATATTGTATATCTTCTTGGTATGTGTTTGAATGTGCTTTGGCGTTTATTTATATTTGTGCTCATTACTCATATCGTCATTGTCTCATTATTCATATCATCCTCTATCTTGTTTCATTTTGTTTACCCTTGTGTTAGTTTATATATCCTTGCATATATATTTTATCATATAGGATATATCTCATTGTTTATATTGCTTATCCTAGCTCATATATCTTATGGTATTTCATACTTGCTAGGATAACTTATTAATTAATTTTAATTGGCATTTAAATCGGATTAGATTAGCATAAGACCCTAATCACCCCCCCTCTAGGGTCTAACACAGTTGTGGACTTTGCTTGAAGCTCTTCAATTTTCTTTTGAAAATCAATGAAAATCAATTGGGACCGGACTGCTGGATTCAATTGGGACCGGACAAGCTGCTGCATATTTTGAAAATCAAAATCATTTTAATGAAGAAATGGGCCAGACTTTGGTTTTTCTTGGACCAAATGAGGACCGGACTTGTGATTTTGAAAATCAAAATCATTTTACTGAAGAAATAAGATGTTTATTATGAACAAGCTTATGTTAGATTTTTTATTAAATGCATTTGATTCATTTATGTCTAACAAGCTTGATTCTTTTGATAGCGCTTATACATTATGGAAATTCATAGAAGCGCATCAAGGAGACTTGGAGGCGATCCAACAAGCTTTGGCGGATCCGGCTTCAAGTTCATGTGGAGCAGAGGAGGGCTACTCTTAATTGAGAAGGCCTTCCAAAATTGTAACTTTTTATTGTAATTAATAATAATAATTTTTTCACCACTTTAAATTTTCTCTTCTTCTCTTTGTTGGATGATAAAGATGAAGATGGAGAATTATTTGAAGGTTTGCATTTCTTTTCTTTTTCTCTTTTATTGCTTATTAGTGTAGATTTATTTTTATGCTTGTAGTTTAGATTTTATTTTCTTGTTAAATAGCCAAGAGGCTAGAACCCTCTTGCCTTAGATTTATTTCATGCTTATAGAATAGATTTATTTTCTTGCATTTAATTCTTATAATTTTATTTTGTAGTTTAGATTTTGCAATTTATTTTGTAGTTAGATTTTAATTTCTTATACTATTCACCTTGAGGCTAGAACCCTCTTGGGTTTAGTTTTTCTTTTTGTTTATTTTTATTTTGTTTGATTCGCCTTTAGGCTAGAACCCTCTAGGGAATCACCATTTTATATGTGCTAAGTCTCATGCTACCATATCTAGACATCTCATACACCATGCACATATATATAGCAAAGTTTACAAGTGTTCAATTCGTGATCGTAAAGGCCATTTATCTAAATTTTGCTATGATGCACAAAAATCTAAAAATGCTAATATCAATGTTTCTTGTGCATCTCATAAGGCTTCTTCATCACATACACATGCACATGCACACTCTCATAAAGTTCATCATATGCATGCTCATGTGTATTCATGTGATCTTTGTGGTCGTTTTGGTCATTTGGCCAA